TTAGTCGCACAGGCAGAAAAAATGGTCGCAGTCTGGAGCCCTGGATAGATAGATAGATAGATATTTACTTTACTTCCTTATATCCAAAACCTGAGTTTGCTACCTCAGTTTGATTTAATTTAAAAGGCATTCTCAAATCAACTTAAAGGGGTCATATGATGCGATTTCAATTTTTCCTTTCTCTTTGGAGTGTTACAAACAACACACTGGATAGCTGGCCAATCACAGCACACCTCGCTTTTTCAGACCGATGAGCTTTATAAAAATCGACGCGTTTCAGAAAGGCGGGGCATAGAGGAGAAACAATAATGTACAATATGTGGAAAATAATGTGTTTTTTAACTTTAAACCACATAAACACATTTCATTACACCAAATAATGTTCTTTTTAGCAGCATCATATGACCCCTTTAAAGAAAGTTCTGAATGCGAGTGCAGTGTGTCTCTCTCACCAGTCCCCACCAGAGGGCGTCTGCATAGGTGTCAAAGTCCTGTGGGGCTGGTGTTGGGGAGGGGCCCTCGGTGTATGATGGCTCTACAGTGACATCATCCTTCTCAACCAGGTACACCAGGAAAGAAGCCAGGATCAATGACAGGAAGCCAATGTACCACGCTGTAATCAGCTCCTGACCGCACACACCAGCCGGGAAACACACACACACACACACACATAGCAGTACTGAGATCAAACTTCACCAGACACTGATATCTGATTGTTTGTGCTTGCGTATGTACTTTGAATGTCTGTGTATCGCAGACCATAGCATTTTTGAGGAATGAGTGTGTGTCTACTTGGGATTGTGTGCACATTGCCGACCCCATCGGTTTATTTGAGCATGCTTGACATGATTTGAACAAGCAAGACGTGCTCTTAGATGTTGATCAAGAGGGAATGGCCTGTTGGCGTACATCACATCATGTGTGTGGATACCTTGCTGTGTGTGTATATTGCAGATCCCAGCAGTTTCCAGGTGCCTCCGCGGCGGTCCATTCGTAGCATTCGAAGGATCTGCAGGAAGCGCAGACTGCGCAGCGACGTGGCCAACACATTTCCCTGGTTTCGTACGGCAACAACCGGCACCGAAGCAATCAGTACAAAGATATCTGACAACATAGAGACAGAACATAGAGAACATATAGCCTCTTATGCTCATTAAAGCTGCATGAATTTGATTAAAAATACAATAAAAATCGTAATATTGTGAAATATTATTACAATTTAAAATAAAAATTTTCTATTTGAATATATTTTAAAATGTAATTTATTCCTCCGATGGCAAAGCTGAATTTTTCAGCATTGTTACTCCAGTCTTCAGTGTCACATGAGCCTTCAGAAATCATTCTAATATGCTGATTTAATTTTCAAGAAACATTTCTTATTATCAATGTTGAAAACAGCTGTGCTGCTTAATATTGTTATGGAAACTGTGACACGTTTTTTCAGGATTATTGATGAATGGAAAGTTCAGAAAACAGCATTTATTTGAAATAGAAATCTTTTGTAATATTATAAATGCCTTTATTGTCACTTTTGATCAACTTAATGTGTCTTTGCTGAATGAAATTACTTTCTTTCAAAAAACTCCCAAACGTTTGAATGTAGTTGTGTATGTGCATACTATATGTGTATGTTTCAGTGTGACTGTGTTTGTTTGGGTCAGTGTGTTTAACTCACCCAGGACACACAGCGGTTTGCGGGCGAATTTGAGCCGTCCTCTCCAGCCCTTATATCGACAGCAGCAGCCGGCAGCCCATATCCTCAATGCAAACTCGCCTCCAAAAATAAAGATTGTAAATGTCTCCTACAGGTGAGAGAAACATTGTCAGATTCCTCTCAACCATTAAATCTCACACACAAACACTGCATTGGCTATGAACAGAAGGCACACACTCACCAGAATCACCAGCCAGTGAGCCGAATCTTTCTCATGCTCTTTGAACGTTGTTAAAATTGACAGAATCAGGCATCCCAAAACAATCAGAAACCTAGAAATTCAGAAAACAGAGAGTGAGCGGGAGCTTCATTCAGTGTATAAATATAGATAGATAGATAGATAGATAGATAGATAGATAGATAGATAGAGCTGTGGGGAAAAAAATGGAATGAAGATCTTTTTTAGTTGCTATGGATACCTCAGCTGAGTCATGATAAAATCTTTTTTTTTTTTTTCTATCTCGGAAAGACCTGCTACCTTTAGATATAAACACTCATGGTATCATTTTACCAGCAGAGGGGGCTGGTGAATATACTGCACTGTTTTTGGAGAGAGAGAGAGATGTATTGGATATATCCTCCCTTCTCACACACACTTGCACAAAAATCCTATTACCAGATGCTGAGCTGGTAAGATTTACAAGTAAATCTTACAAGTAAGATTTACAACAGGTAATCAGAAACCTGGTGCTACTGTATACTGTATAGGATGCTCATTCATTTTCCTTCCTGAATATCAAGCCAAACAAAGATGCATGCTGTGCTCGCTAACCTGGATATTTAATTATGAGAACTGAAAAGAAACTTTAAATTCTGTCATCATTTACTCGCCCACACATCTTTAGAAACCCATAATATGATTTGTATGCTTCACAAAAAGACAAAAAAGACACCATAAAAGAAGCATAATAGAGTAAGAGTGAAGGAGACTGTTTTCAGCAAAAACCAAGTTGGCATGAAATAAAAATTCTTCCTATCAATGCGATAAATCAACGCTTATCTTATTATTCGCCTATGCATGTCTCATTTTTCAAAACGTTTTATTTATTTTTTTCTTCCAGTGAAATTAGATACTCATCTCTGGTAAAGTATGCAGTTCTGTATAGAACTGTTTAGTCCAACACTTTCTTACAATCGACTGTAAGCTTACATTCAGATCAGCCTCCAACCAATAAATGTGTGTAATGATTTGTGTATGCAAGTGACTGTCCTCCGATGCCATTTTCTGCAGTGTTGTTCTGTTACATCTGGAAATCTAGCTGTACTGTGTGGCATCCAGCAGAGCATACATGCAGACTCACATATTTCCCTTATCGTCCTCACTCTATTCGTCAGTTGACCTGTTGTCAGTTTCTATGGTTTTGCATTTGTAGGTTATATCTGTGCTGTTTCCATGGTTACACATATTCATCTCACACACACATATACACAGTCATACACACTGCTACATGCTCAGCATCTGGTCTATAGTGAAAGCTTTTAACATCAGCACACTAATAACCTATAATGGTCATACTACTCTCTCTCTTACTGTGTGTCGACTGAAGTGTGCAGGGTTTTCTTGAAGAGTGATGCTTCCCTCAACAGAACGATGGAATGCCACGACTCTCAGGGTGCTCATTCTCAACTGTTGCTCTAAAATATGATTATGTTCTTAATGAAAATGGCTATTAAGAGAGAAAACCGCTCTACAACCTAGAATGTAGAGATGATTATGAAAAAATATGACTATATATATAACTAATTTAGGCTTAAAAATTGATCAAGCGAATGTGTTTGAGATAAATAAATCCACATATAAAGTGTTATCCACACAAATTTTGTTTTTATTATTTTTATTAATTATTATTAAAAAGACAAAAAATAAAACAATACAAAAATATATAAATATAAATAAATAAAATTAATAATTTTAGCATAATTATTGTTAAACATTTGTGTCCCTTTTCTGCTCTCTTTGACCATTAAAATTTCACAGGGAATTTTTGGTGCGAGGTGAGCAATGCATCTAATATTACATAATCAAATGTTTGTGAGGTCTATAATGTCAAAGCTTGAAAAATAATGGTGGTGTCTTATTTCATAATCAAATCAGATGACTGCATTCCAGCAACAAGATACATGTGTGTGATCACCCAATAGGCATCACTGATGTGTAACCGTTGATAGTTATGTGCTGATGCATTCATTTGTCTGAGGTTACAAAGTTGAGAACATTCTCTGTGAGTTGAGTCATTTTTCCAGCTTGGTTTCAATTAAAGTATTCCCCAACATAGAGAAAAAAAAAAAAAAAGTAAAGCAAAAAAAACAAAACAAAAAAGCAAAGCAAAGCAAAAAAAAAACAAAAAATCTAAGAAAAACAAAGCAAAGCAAAAACAAAACAAAACAAAAACAAAGCAATACAACAAAAAACAAACAAAACAAAACTGTGGAAAAATACTAAAACTTTTCAAACTTCCTCGCAAAAAACAAGATACATAAGACAAAAAACACAAAACAAAAATTCCAGCAACAAGTGTCCGATCACCCTATAGGTGTCATCACGTGTTGATGCTTTAATTTGTCTGATAAAGTTGCGGATGTTTATAACGAGTCATTTGGGCAGCTTGGTTTAAATAAAAGCTCTTTTTGGATTGACAGGAAGTTTTAAAAGTTCCAGTATGTTTCCACAGTATATTAGACTCTTTTATCCAACAACATCAAGGAAAATCTGATTGTTCGTAAAATGACCCACTCAGTGCTGTTTACAAAGAATTGTTAAAGATGTTTGTTGAATATAGAGGTTGGCGAGAGCAATCCACACCAATCAATAGTGATTCAGTTGGTAAGTGGACACAGTAAAATCTGGGATCATTTTATACTCCACTGAATGGAGGCAACTATGCAGTGTGCCGTTTAATTAGAATGATTTCTGAAGGATCATGTGACACTGAAGACTGGAGTAATGAACAAAAACTGGAAATGTTGCTGGAGACGGGCTTATTGAAAACGCAAATGTATTCTCTGCCAGCAGGAGGCGCTTTTAGAGTGATGAAAGGAGCGGTTTCCCCAGTAACGGCTGTAATCAAAGCAGCTCAGCTCATGAACGCTACTTTATCAGATAAAAATGAAAATGTCATCGAAACTTTTCTGAAGACAGTCAGTTCCCTTCAGAGATACATTCATATAAAACAACCGCGCTGCGTTTTGATTTTGAAACGTGTAGTGCTCATGTTTATTCAACGAAGTCAAACGCCACAAATAAATCGATGTACGTTATGGGAAACACCAGTAATGTATATCGAAATATCGGAAATGTGTTTAAAAATCATATCACCGTTATTGAAAAAAATTATATCGCGACACATATTGATATTGAATTATTGTCCAGCCCTAGGTAAACATGATCAGTGCTACTACTACTAATTAATCTACTACTGTTACAATTTACCATAGAGGCCCATTTTTTTTAATATTCCAAAAAAAAAAAAATTTGGTTATATATGAACGTTAAGGGAACATTCCATTTTATTATTTTGTAAACATTAGGGGAATGTTACGTAAATGTTCTCTGAACATTCTGAAACAAGTAGTAACATTTAAAAAATGTTAGACGAATGTTCAACTAAAACGTTTCAGAAAAATGTTCCATGAATGATCTATAAATAATGTTTTTGTGCTATTGTTTTGAAAACATTGTTAAAGACCAGATAACTTTCAATTAACATTCTATTAACTTTACTGAAAGAACGTTTGTTCACAACTTGCCAGAACGTTAGCCGTTCCCGAGGGATATACTCTATTCTACAGAACGAAATTCTACAGTATTTCTAATTTCAGTCACTTTTTGGGTCTAAAACATAAAGATCAAGAGAACAGCAGAAGTGCAGGAAACATAAATTGTCCAAAACCCAAAATACTGTGCATGTCTTCGAAAGAGAGAGTCTGTCATGGAAGCTTTCCCTTGCCTGTGTTCTGTCTTGGTAATGCTGTGAGAGTAATGTGTGTGTGTACATGTGCATCTGTGAGAATGTGTGTGTAATTTGGCTGTTTGTCTGATCGATGTTGAGGGCATATTGGCTTTAATGGGAGCATCAATATATGAGGTGAGTCATAACAGGACACATCAACGTTTATAATAAAACACACACATACACACACAGCCGTGCGGTTCTGCCCCATAGCATGCTGGATAGAGAAGGAGCCAGAGAGAGAGAGAGAGAGAGAGAGAGAGATGTAGCCCCATTAGAGGTTATTAGTGAGGTGGATGTTAAAAGCACAGTATTTCTCTGCTGATTTCAGGGAACAGCAGATTACAGCTCTAACCGGAGACCAGAGCACAAAGCAGCAAGCATGTGCAGACAAGAGATTCAAAACCCACCAAAATGGGTTTCCAGGTCTATTTTGTTTGGCTGATTTGAAAATACTTATGCTGCAGGGTTATTAGTATTATTTAGACAAACTGAACTGAAAATGTGTATTATGTCTTGAAATGACTTATCAGAGAGTCATGAGGTATGTGCCCCCTTTGTGATTTTTTTAAGATATCTTTATGGTTGTAGTTTTTGAAACAAAATGTAATGCTGCACAAAAAGAACCTAAATGGAAAAGTAAATATAGTGAACATACAATCATATCACCACTGTGAAAAAGTAAATGCCATATTAAACCTAATATCTGCTTGGATGACAATTAACTGCAACTAAACACCTCCACAAGTTTGTTCAGATCTTTGCTTGTCTCTGCTGAGGAACTCATTCTTCTTTGAAAAACTCTCTTTTAACCCTGACAAACTAGGACTTCAAGTGTGAAATGTTTTTTCACGTCCCCCTTCCTCTCTATAGGATTCAACTCAGAACTTTAACTAGGCCACTCTAAAACTTTACTTTAATTTCCTTTCAGCCACTGAAATGACAGTTTGAGTCCCGAGCTCATGCTTGAGATGCCTGCTGTTGTTCTGAGATCTTTTGAGACTTCCCGGAGCTGCCGTGTTCTTGGGAGAAATTTTTGTCCAGTCAACCACTTCTGGGAATATTCACCACTACTCTATTCGCAGGTAATGGATTGCACTGTGGTTCAACAGAGGCCAAGTAATAAACTTTGTAACCCTTTCCAAACTAAAGTAGCTAAATTTTTCTTCAGTTGTTTCTTTAATTGGGGCATGTGAACATGTGAACACTCATCTCAAAAAAGGTTTGTCCATTTAAATTCAACATGGCAGGCTGCATTAAAGTCTGCCTGTGATAGTCTCCTAAATCTTTCTTGATTTCAAGACCAATTCAGTTACTTTTTC